CCTCGTGATCCACCCGCCTCGGCCTCCCAAAGTGCTGGGATTACAGGCTTGAGCCACCGCGCCCGGCCTCAAAAAAATTTTTTTGAGACAGGTTCCCACTCTGTCACCAGGCTGGAATGCTGTGTCGCACACAATCTGGGTTTACTGTAATCTCTACATCCTGGACTCAAGTGATTCTCTCACCTTAGCCTCTCAAGTAGCTATAACTAGAGGCATGAGCCACTACACCTGGCTAATTTTTTGTAGCGGTGGGGTTTTGCCATGTTGCCCAGGCTGGTCTTGAACTCCCAAGCTGAAGCACTTCATACTCCTCGACCTCCCAAAGTGCTGGGATTATAGACATAAGCCACCCTACCCAGCTTCAGTTGAGTATACTGGGAAAGAATGTGGAACTGTCACAGATTGGAAGAGACACCGTTAAATGCAGTGTGGGATTCTGGATTAGATTCTGGAAAAGAAAAAGGACATGGAGGGAGAACAGGTGAAATTCAAATTAGTTGGCCAGGCGCGGTGGCTTATATCTGTAATCCCAGCACTTTGGGAGGCCGAGGTGGGTGGATCACGAGGTAAAGAAGTCAAGACCATCCTGGCCAACAACACGGTGAAACCCTGTGTCTACTAAAAATACAAAAAAATTGGCCGGGCGTGATGGCACACAACTGTGGTCCCAGCTACTCGGGAGGCTCAGGTGGAATAATTGCTTGAACCCAGGAGGCGGAGGTTGCAGTGAGCTGGGATTGTGCCACTGCACTCCATCCTGGTGACAGAGCAAGACTCCATCTCAAAAAAAAAAAAAAAAAAAAAATCAGTTGTACAGTTTCATTAATAGTGTTGTACCAGTGTTAATTTCCTGGTTTGGGAAGTTGTGCTAGAGCTAGGTAAATTGTTAATAAGGGAAGCAGGGTGAAGGGTATAAGTTAATTCTGCTGTGTTTGTAACGTTCCTATACGTGCAAAATGACTTCGGAATAAAAAGTTTAAGAAAAAGTAGTTCAGTCCACTGACCTAGAAGCTCAAAGAGTAATGATTGAAAAGCATGTATGTGTGGCATATTGTGTTACACACTCATAGCTTTCAGTAGAGGTAGATTTCACGGAATTTTATTTGTGAAATTTTGTTTGGTAAAGAATTATAACCTGAGGTGTCCCTGCTATGCATAGTATCAAACAGCAGTTCATCCAGATTTATTTCTAATTAATTTTGTGGCAGATTTGTCTTTGTAGTCAAACTTACTTTCTTCCCTGGGCAGACAAAGTTAGCCTGAAGAAAGAATGGCCAGATAAGTTGTCAAGAAATGATGGCTATTTATATATACAGTCCCCTGATTTAGGCTAAAGACACCCGTACATTTACTGGAGAAAGGATGGTCTTTTCAATAAATGGTTCTGGGTGAAATCAATAAGAGAAAGACAGACAGCTGCAAAAGAAGATATCCGTAAGAGAGTATTCTCCACATACAAGTTTCAGGCAATCGCAAATTACAACCACAGTAGTAAATTACTGTGCCCCTTCAAAATGACCAACATTAACACAGTTGACAAAAACCTGTGGGTGTCGAAGCCGAACAACTGGAACTTTCCAGTCATGGCTGGGAATGTAAATCATGCCAACCACCTTGGAAAACTAAAGCTGAATATGCATCTGCGTTATGGCCCTGCATTCCATTCCTTGATGTATGTACACTCCAGGAGTGAGCGCCACACAACCCAGCCCTAGACATACACCCTAGAGAAATGGGTGCGTCATAAATCCATCGTCAGCCATGTGTAAAAGTGGTCATAGTAGCTTTATTTCTAATAGCCAAAAGTTGGAAACAATCCAGATTTCCACCAATGGTAGAATGGGCAAAAATGAAGCAATCACAGATGAAACAACATAAGCGAAAGGTGATGAGAGTTAACTGTACTTCTGTGTGTATGTTTGAGAGTTTTGATAATAAAAACTGAGAAATAGGAAACAGATGGGGTTTTGCCGTGTTGCCCAGGTTGGTCTTGAACTCCTGGGCTCAAGCAATCATCTACCTTGGCCTCCAAAAGTACTGGGATTGCAGGAGTGAGCACCGTGCCTGGCCTGGCTCTGTATTTCCGTCCATCCTCCTTCCTATTCTTTCAACTGTTTATCTTTTAAGTCACATGGTTCAAAAGGAAGCATACTCTACATCGTTACTTTTTTTTTGTCTTTTTTTAGAACTTAGAACAATTCTAACTTGACTTTGTGTTAAAAGGATAATTCAATGAATTATTTGTTGTTGTTGTTGTTGTTTGAGTTGAAGTCTCACTCTGTCACCCAGGCTGGAGTACAGTGGTGCTATCTCGGCTCACTGCAAGCTCCACCTCCCAGGTTCAAGTGATTCTCCTGCCTTGGCTTCCCGAGTAGCTGAAAGTACAGGTATGCCCCACCATGCCCAGCTAATTTTTGTGTTTTTAGGTGAGATGGGGTTTCATCATGTTGACCAGGCTGGTCTTGAACTCCTGACCTCAAGTGATCTGCCTGCCTTGGCCCCAGAGTGCCGGGATTACAGGCATGAGCCACTGGCTCACGCTCGGCCTAGATGATTATTTTCAAGATTTTTTGCAAGGGTACACCTTTGTATGTATGAGAAGACCACTAGAGATGGTAAAGTCACTTGGATAATCTTGGAAGGCCATAGTTACTGGAGCTGGGAATGAGACAGCCACCTAGGTTTAACCTCTTCGTGAGGGGCAGTGGCATTTGGACTAGGTCTGTCACCAACCCAAGACGAGCTCAGAGTGGAAGGCACCCTCACTCTCTTCCCCCATCTGATCTCATTCCCTCACCAGAGGGTGGAGGGCAGAGAAGCTGTATATCGAGAGCCCGTACAGATCACTGCCGGGGCAGAGAACAGGGTATTGAAGAGTGGATTTGGAACAGCACTGGAAGTCAGCTGGATGAGCCACTCCACTACTTATCTTGACGTTCCACCTAACCAAGCTGTTTACTTGGTGTACATTTCCCTACTTTGCCTACAAAAATACTATGAAAAGCTCTGCTAAATGTCTTACTGAAATCTTTGGATGCTGTATTAGGGTTCTCTAGAGGGACAGCACTAATGGGATATATTTAAGGGAGTTTACTATGGAGAATTGACTCACACAATCACAAGGTAAAGTCCCATGATAGGCCGTCTACAAGTTGAGGAGCAAGGAAGCCAGTGATGGATAAGTCTGAGTCCCAAAACCTCAAAAGTAGGGAAGCTGACAACGTGGCCTTCAGTCTGTGGCCAAAGACCTGAGAACCCGTGGCAAACCACTGGTGTAAGTCCAGGAGTCCAAAAGCTGAAGAATTTGGCATCTGATGTTCGAGGGCAGGAAGCATCCAGCACTGGAGAAAGAGGAAGGGCCAGAAGACTCAGCAAGTCTGCTCGTCCATCTTCTCCTGCCTGCTTTATTCTAGCCGGGCGGGGAGCTGATTAGATGATGCCCACCCAGATCGAGGGTGGGTCTGTATCTCCCAGTCCACGGACTGAATTGTTCACCTCCTTTGGCAGCACCCTCACAGGCCCATCCAGGAACAATATTTTGCATCTTTCAGTCCAGTCAAGTTGGCACTCAGTATTAACCATCACAGATGCACTAAGCCTACTCTCCACTGGCTGAGCAGGAGCTAGATCAGCTCTGGTGTCCAGTATTCCTCTTTTCCTGTTCTGTTCTCAGCAGCTTCTTCTCCGATGCATATTGTTGTTGTTGTTGTTTACATTTTAATGTTTTTGAAATCAGGATGTGATTTGCAATTTAGCAGAGATTTAGTATAAGGATCATTTTTTCCCCTCTAGATCTTTATGTTGAAAATATTCAAAGCTTTTATTTAGAAAAGTTGCATGTACAATAAAAACCAGTATTATTTTTCTCATTAACAATAATTTGTTCTGCCAGATTTAAGAAAAGCCGTTTTAAAAACCCAGTCGTTTGGAGTTGATTTTTATAGAATTATTTCTTATTAAATATTGAGTAGGTATAAAAGAATATTCATAAAATATTTATTACCTGTAGCAACTAATGGTGCTACAAGCACTTGTGTACCTGCCAAGTTGTTTTAAGAAGTGTTTGGCCGTGTGCAGTGGTTCATGTCTGTAATCGCATAGTGGCAATGCCCAGGCAATCGAGGCTGCAGTGAGCCATGATCACACCACTGCAGCTCCAGCTTGGGAAACAGAAGAACGCCCCTTATTTATCAGAGACTGACTAAAGAAAAAAAGGCTGGGTGTGGCGGCTCATGCCTATCAACCCCACACTTTGGGAGGCTGAGGCTGACAGATCACTTGAGATCAGAAGTTCATGACCCACCTGGCCAACATGGTGAAACCTCATATCTACCAAAAATACAAAAATCAGCTGGGCATGATGGAGCACACCCGTAGTCTCAGCTAGTTAGGGGGCTGAGGTGGGAGACTCACTTGAGCCTGGGAGGTGGAGGTTGTGTTATGCTGATATTGCACCACTACATTCCAACCTGGGTGACTGACTGAGACTCCATCTCAATAAATAAATAGATAGATAGATAAATGGATAGATAGATAAAAATTAAATAAAATGAATTAGATGTTATGGTTATCTTATAGTGAGCAAGAGAGTGGGATGAGGTGAGGTGAGATTAGAGAGGTAGACATGCTCTGAAATCGGATCATCAAGGCCTTGATAAGAAGTGGTTTTATTTTAAATAAGATGGCAATATGTGAAGACTTTTATTAGAGCTTTGAGTCATACAGTGTGTTTATAAAATAGAAGTTAGACACCTATGTATCTATAAAGTAATACCTAATCATTATTTATATAATTTAGAGGACGAGATGACCAAACATTAAAAAATACTTGTAAACTAATATCCCTTTCTCTATTTTGAAATAATCTCTTAATATAAAGTTTTTATTAACTTTATTCTAGTTTATTTAAAAAATGTCTTTGAGAAGAGACTGAAAGTATTCAAACAGTTGATCCACTACTGATTGCCTCTTTTTAAAAATTTCTTTTTAATCTTCGGCAGACATGTGCATTGCCATTGCGATTTCTCTTCTCATGATTCTGATATGTGCTATGGCTACTTATGGAGCATACAAGGTAAGCAGCTTGCAATTAGATGCTGGCCTTTTCCTGGGTCTCTTACATGGTTCATCTGTGCTGCTATCTATAGTAAGAAAGAAGGGACTTTCCAGCTTTCTGTAAGAATCTCTGAATAGGCCGGGCACGGTGGCTGAAGCCTGTAATCCCAGCACTTTAGGAAGCTGAGGTGGGTGGATCACGAGGTCAAAAGATCGAGACCATCCTGGTCAACATGGTGAAACCCCATCTCTACTAAAAATACAAAAAATTAGCTGGGTATGGTGGCACATGCCTGTAATTCCAGCTACTCAGGAGGCTGAGGCAGGAGAATTGCCTGAACCTAGGAGGCGGAGGTTGCGGTGAGCCGAGATCGTGCCATTGCACTGCAGCCTGGGTAACAAGTGAGAAACTCCATCTCAAAAAAAAAAAAAAAAAAAAAAAAGAATCTCTGAATAATGTTTATATCTCTCGTTTGTATTAGATGGTACTAGGAAAAGCAATAAAATCAGTATTATAGTCCTGGAAATGTTTTTTGTTTGTTTGTTTGCTTTTGTTTTGTTTTTTTGAGGGGGACAGACTGTCGCACAGACTGGAGTGGAGTGGCACAATCTCAGCTCACTGCAACCTCCACCTCCCAGGTTTAAGCAATTCTCCCACCTCAGCCTCTAGAGTAGCTGGGACTACAGGTGTGTGCCACCACACCTTGCTCATTTTTGTGTTTTTTGGTAGAGATCTGATTTTACCATGTTGGCTGGGATGGTCTCGAATTCCTGACCTCAGGTGATCCATCCACCTCAGCCTCCCAAAATGCTGGGATTACAGGTGTGAGCCACTCCACCCCACCTCCTGGAAATGTTCATTGAAGCTTGTTTGTTGACTGCTTATATTTAGCATAGCGGTTTCCACCAAGACCTTGTTTAATGAATTTCAATTTTTCCATTTCCTTTCAGATTAATAAAATATTTCTTTGAATTTGAAAAAATAATATTTTATAATATTGAACACATTAACTCTCTGTTTTCTGTTCTTTTTAGCAACACGCAGCCTGGATTATCCCATTCTTCTGTTACCAGATCTTTGATTTTGCCCTGAACACCTTGGTTGCAATCACTGTGCTTGTTTATCCAAACTCCATTCAGGAATACATACGACAACTGGTATGTGGGCCTCTTACTGCTTCTTTTTATTAGGGAGAGCCGGTTAAGTAAGGGATGTAGAGTCATAGAGAGACACAGACATTAATTTCAGGATTTTTAGCTCGCAGCTGAGTTACTGATAGAATTATTTATTTAGTGATTTATTTTTTAGATGGAGTCGTGCTCTTGCCACCCAGGCTGGAGTGCAATGACGCAATCTCGGCTCCCTGCAACCTCTGTCTCCTGGGTTTGAGTGATTCTCCTGTCTCAGCCTCCCAAGAGTCTGGAATTACAGACATGCACTAACATACCTGACCAATTTTGTATTTTAGTAGAGATGCGGTTTCTCCATGTTGGTCAGGCTGGTCTCAAACTCCTGACCTCAGGTGATCCACCCACCTCAGCCTTCCATAATGCTGGGATTACAGGTCTGAGCCACTGTGCCTGGCCTGATAAGAAATTTTTGAGGGCCGGGGTTATTATTGGTAGCAGTGATGTCGGTATTTGATGTGCCTACCTAAATTATAGTCTGGTTACTAAGAATCTTGTTTGGTAAAATGTAATTTTCTCAGTTATCAAAAAAGGATAGCTTTTTGCCTCTGCTAGTGTATTGAAAGTGGAACTCTGCTCAAAAACAAACAAACAAAATACTTAGCTGGGAGAGGTGGCACATACCTGTTACCCCAGCTACTCGGGAGGCTGAGGTAGGAGAATTTGCTAGAACTTGGGAGGTGGAGGCTGCAGTGAGCCAAGGTCACTCCATTGCGCTCAAGCCTGAGCAATAGAGCGAGGCAGAATCTTAAAAAAAAAAAAGAAAGAAAGAAAAAAGAAAAATCAAAAGAAAGTGGAACTCTGCTCTATATTAGTTCCCAAATACGTTTGACCCTACTATCCCTCCTTTCCCAAGCATTATTTTGGGACTAGTTTATGGTTAAATGTCCTTTGTGACCATATGAGTGAACATTAGTGGCTGGGTGTTAAGAAACTTACAGTGGTTATGAGGTTGGGATACCTCTGTAACTTTATTATTATTATTTTTTTTGAGACAGGGTTTCTGTCACCCAGGCTGGAGTACAGTGGCGTTATTTTGGCGCATTGCAGCGTTGACCTCCCAGGCTCACATGATCCTCACATCCCAACTTCTTGAATACCTGGCACTACAGGCATGCACCACCATGCCCAACTAAATTTTTTTTTGTGTGTGTATGTTTTGTAGAGATGGGGTTTCACCATCTTGTCCAGACTTGCCTGAAACTCCTGGACTTAAGTGATCCTCCAGCCTTGGCCTCCCAAAGTGCTGGCATTATAGGTGTGAGTCACTGTACCAAGCCAACTTTATTTATTTATTTATTTATTTTCATTTTTTGAGGTGGAGTCTTGCTCTGTCACCCACGCTGGAGTGCAGTGACACAAGCTCAGCTCACTGCAACCTCCTTCTCCCAAGTTCAGGTGATTCTCCTGCCTTAGCCTCCTGAGGAGCTGGGACTACAGGCATGTGCCACCATGCCTGGCTGATTTTTTGTACCTTAATTAGAGACAGGGTTTCACTGTTAGCCAGGCTGGTCTCGAACTCCTGACCGCGGTCGATCCCCCCACCTCAGCCTCCCAAAGTGCTGGGATTATAGGTGTGAGCCACTGTGCCTGGCCCAATTTTATTGTATTTTTTGAGATGGAGTCTTGCTCTGTTACCCAGGCTGGAGTGCAGTGGGTGCAATTGATCTCAGCTCATTGCAGTCTCTGCCTCCCTGGTTCAAGCGATTCTCCTGCGTCAGCCTCCCAAATAGCTGGGATTACAGGCACCTGCTACCATGCCTGGCTAATTTTTCTATTTTTAGTAGAGATGGGGTTTTACCATCTTGGCCAGGCTGGTCTGAAACATTTAGCCCGAAGGGATCCACCCACATCAGCCTCCAGGAGTGCTGGGATTTCAGGTGCTGGGTATCATACCCAGCTAATTTTTGTGTTTTTAGTAGAGATAGGGTTTTACCATGTTGGCCAGGCTGGTCTTGACCTCTTGCCCTCAAGGAATCCACCTTCCTTAGCCTCTCAAAGTGCTAGGATTACAGGTGTGAGCCACCACTCCCGGCCACATACTTGCATTTTAATCTCTTTTAAAAATTAGACACAGCGCGGTGGCTAAGACCTGTAATCTCAGCACTTTGGGAGGCCAGGGTTGGTGGATCCCTTGAGGCAGGAATTTGAGACCAGCCTGGCCAACATGGTGGAAGGCCATCTCTACTAAAAACACAAAAATTAGCCGGTCGTGGTAGTACATGTCTGTAGTCCAAGCTACTTGGGAGGCTGAGGCAGGAGAATAGTTGGAACCCAGGAGGTGGAGGTTGTAGTGAGGCCCACTGCACTCCAGCCTGGGTGACAGAGCGAGACTCTATCTCAAAAAAAGGAAAAAAAATTTAGACACAGGAATAGTGCAATTTCTCAACAATGCCAAGTTAATTTATTCTGTTTTTGGGGTACGGGGGACAGGATCTCACTCTATCACCCAGTCTGGTATGCAGCGGTGTGGCCTAGGCTTACTGCAACCTCAGTCTTCTTTTTCTTTCTTTTTTTTTTTTTTTTTTGTGACAGAGTTTTGCTCTTGTCGCCCAGGCTGGAGTTCAGTGACAGGATCTCAGCTCACTGCAACTTCTGCCTCCCGGGTTTAAGTGTTTCTCCTGCCAGTGCCTCCTGAATAGCTGGGAATACAGGTGCCCACTACCACGCCCTGCTGTCTTTTATATATATATATATAAAAAAATTTTTTTTTTGGTCTTTTTGTTTTTTTCCTTTTTGTGGAGAACGGGGTCTCGCTATATTGCCCAGGCAGGTCTCAAACTCCTGGGCTCAAGCTATCCTCCCGCCTCTGCCTCCCTAAGAGCTGGGATTACAGGCGTGAGCCACAGCGCCCGGCTATATTTTTTTAGTAGAGATGGGGTTTCACTATATTGGCCAGGCTGGTCTTGAAATCCTGATCTCAGGTGATTGCCTGCCTCAGCCTCCCAGGTGCTGAGATTACAGGTGTGAGCCACCATGCCTGGCCTGCAACCTCAATCTTCTGGGCTCAAGTGATCCTCCCACTTAGCCTCCGAAGTAGTTTGGACTACAGACATGTGCCACCATGCCTGGCTAAATTTGTATTTTTAATAGAGATGGTGTTTCACTATGTTGTCCAGGCTGGTCTCAAACTCCTATACTCAAGCAATCTGCCTACCTCAGTCTCCCAAAGTGCTGAAATTACAGGTGTGAGCCACTATGCTCAGCCAATTTATTTATTTATTATTTGTTTGTTTGTTTGTTTGGAGCAGAGTCTCCCTCTGTTGTCCAGGCTGGAATGCTGTGGTGCAGTCTCAGCTCACTGCAACCTCCACCTCCCGGGTTCAAGCATTTCTCTTGCCTCTCCCAAGTATCTGGGACTACAGGTGCCTGCCAGCACGCCTGGCTAATTTTTTTAGTTTTAGTAGAGATGGGGTTTTCACCATGTTGGCCAGGCTGGTCTCGAACTCCTGACCTTGTGATCCACTCACCTCGGCCTCCCAAAGCGCTGGGATTTCAGGCGTGAGCCACTGTGTCCGGCCTTTAATTCTTAATAAAAGAATAAAATTGCATGATCTGATCACGATGATTGTCAGTTTTATTTCTTAGATATTTTGTCCTACGTGCAAGGAGACTCTGAAAACCATTAGGTGGTGTTCACCCTGGTGAGCAGGAGCCAAGCACAGGAGTCATGGGCTTTCTCCATGTTCTTCCTCAACATTGGAAACAACTTTGCTTTGGAATCTTGCTCAGGAATCCAAACACATAGTATTGAATGGTGAGGAAGAAAGAAAAGATGAGATAGCACAGTAGGCTGCCTTCCCATTCACTTCCCTAGGCCAGTGATGTAGGCGTTGATCAATGCTGTGTGAGTGTTTTGTGGGGAAAGTCTGGCAACTCCCTCTAACCATAGTAGCAGGCTTTGATCCTCCTAAAGAGGTTCCCTTTGACCTGGTGTTGTGGTCAGATGGTAGGGCTTAATTCCTCCACCCTCACTGCCCCAGAAGTACTTGCTAGTTATAAGAGAATATGCGGTGTTGAAGGAAGTATCATCAACAAAAATGCTCTTTGCAAAGAAAACAGCATTTTAATAAGTTTCTGTCCCTTGCCCTGCATACACCCTTTAATGGTTCAGAACTAGGCTGGGCACGGTGGCTCATGCCTGTAATCCCAGCACTTTGGGAGTCTGAGGTGGGTGGATCTTTTGAGGTCAGTAGTTCAAAAGCAGCCTGACCAACCTGATGAAACCTCATCTGTACTACAAAGACAAAAATTTTACCTATGTGTGGGGGTGATGCATGTGGTCCCACTTACTCGGGAGGCTGAGGCAAGATAATCACTCAAACCCAGTAGGGGGAGGTTGCTGGGAGCCAAGATTGTGCCACTGCACTCTAGCCTGGGCTACAGAATGAAACTCCATCTCAAAAAAAAAACTATAGATAAGGCCCAGACAGACAGCAGCTGAAACCAAACAGAATTCTTAAGTATTTGGAAGCTTATGTATCCAAATCTTTTTTATTTTTTTTCTTTTTTCCTGAGACGTGGTCTAGCTCTGTCACCCAGGCAGCTGGAGTGCAGTGGCATGATCTTGGCTCACTTAAACCTTCACCACCGGGGCCCAAGTGATTTGCTCACCTCAGCCTCCCATCTTGCTGAGCTGGGTGAGAGAGAGAGAAACTCAATCTTAAAAAAAAAAAAAAAAAAAAAAAAGCTCAGAACTTGTAGAGAATCCACATTTCAGAGGTCCCCAGATAAACAAAATGTCCCTGGATCCAGACCGGTGACTTCTAACTTGTATGTGGTAGGAGGGCAGAGTCACAATAGAACTTTTGTGCTGGTCCTAAATATTAGCTGTCTGCTTTAATCCGTTGCTTTCTGATAAGCATGTCTGAATTGCTGCCCAAGGAATACTCTCTGGAATGATGAGAGAGATTTGCTAACGAGGCCTTTTTCTTTTGCAGCCTCCTAATTTTCCCTACAGAGATGATGTCATGTCAGTGAATCCTACCTGTTTGGTCCTTATTATTCTTCTGTTTATTAGCATCATCTTGACTTTCAAGGTAAGCATGAAGATTTTACTTATAGTCTAAAAATATTAAGTGTATTCCTGAATGCCAAAGAAGTAAAAAAAACTTTGGTCAGTTGATTGTCTTTCTTTGGACATCGAAGTTGCTTTTGGATTACCTAAGATAACAGTTCTTTATGTCTACATTAGAGGAAAGCACTAACCACAATTCCACAGCTTGATCAAGGAGTCCAAAATATATCTGGACAGAGATAAGTTAACATAATGTTATACATTACACAGTATACAATACTGCAACATCCATTATAAGATCTGTGTAATAGGGCCGGGTGCGGTGGCTCACGCCTGTAATCCCAGCACTTTGGGAGGCCGAGGGGGGTGGATCACGAGGTCAAGAGATTGAGACCATCCTGGCCAACATGGTGAAACCCCGTCTCTACTAAAAATACAAAAAAAATTAGCTGGGCATGGTGGCGCGTGCCTGTAATCCCAGCTACTCAGGAGGCTGAGGCAGGAGAATTGCCGGAACCCAGGAGGCGGAGGTTGCGGTGAGCCGAGATCGCGCCATTGCACTCCAGCCTGGGTAACAAGAGCGAAACTCCGTCTCAAAGAAAAAAAAAAATCTGTGTAATAAATATTGTTTTGTAATTTTTGGGCCAAAGTGTAGTATTTTTCTGAACATTGTTCTGTCTCAATCCATTATATGAGTATCATTATTTAATAAATTACCTATTGTTGAATATTGAGACATTTTTTACTTAATAGGGCTGCAGTGAATATATTTAAGTACAACCGTATATTTTTTTTTTTTTTTTTTTTTTTTTTTTGAGACGGGGTTTTGCTCTTTTTACCCAGGCTGGAGTGCAATGGCACGATCTCGGCTCACCGCAACCTCCGCCCCCTGGGTTCAAGCAATTCTCCTGCCTCAGCCTCCCTAGTAGCTGGGACTACAGGCGTGCGCCACCATGCCCAGCTAATTTTTGTATTTTTAGTAGAGACGGGGTTTCACCATGTTGACCAGGATGGTCTCGATCTCTTGACCTTGTGATCCACCCGCCTCGGCCTCCCAAAGTGCTGGGATTACAGGCTTGAGCCACTGCGCCCGGCCCTTTTTTTTTTTTTTTTTTTTTTTTTTTTTGAGACGGAGTTTCGCTCTTGTTGCCCAGGCTGGAGCGCAATGGCGCGATCTCGGCTCACCGCAACCTCCGCCTCCTGGGTTCAGGCAATTCTCCTGCCTCAGCCTCCTGAGTAGCTGGGATTACAGGCACACGCCACCATGCACAGCTAATTTTTAGTATTTTTAGTAGAGACGGGGTTTCACCATGTTGACTAGGATGGTCTTGATCTCTTGACCTCGTGATCCACCCGTCTCGGCCTCCCAAAGTGCTGGGATTACAGGCTTGAGCCACTGCGCCCGGCCTACAACCGTATATTTATGCATCTGTTTCCTGAAGGTAAATTTCTTAAAATCAGGGTATTGATGGTTGGAAAGCCTTTGATAAGTTGTCAAATTGATGCCTCCCAAAGTTAAATGACTTCTACTTCCAGCAGGAGTGCATCAATTCTTTTTCGTCTTGGTCAATCCGTTTGTAAAAACATCACGATAACTTGTGCTTGTGAGCTACTATAAGGTAGAAAACTCCCTGGTTCTTTATGCTTTGAACTGTTGTTTCCTTTTCTTGTTTCCTTTTTATTTTTTGTGAGGCAGGGTCTCTCCGTGTAGCCTAGGCTGCCTCCTGCTTGGTCTCCCAGAGTTGTGGGATTCCAGGTGTGAGCCACTGCGATGAGCATGCTTTGAATTTTTAAATCTCAGTGCTTTTCATTGTCTTAATTTTGGCGTAAAATTAGCTCATTCTTCAAAAATCATTCCTCAGTAAACTTTGGAAAGCTGCATTAAGGCAAAAAATTCATATGGGTCCTATGATGAAAAGGAGTAGAAAGAAAATGGTTCATTGGAAATCATTTGGCCAGGTGAGATGGCTCACAGCTGTGATGGCAACACTTCGGGAGACTGAAGTGAGAGGATCCCTTGAGTCCAGTATGTGAGGCTGTAGTGTGCTACGACAGTGGCACTACACTCCAGCCCAAGTCACAGTGAGACGCCAGGTGGTTGTTGTGGTTTTTTTTGTTTGTTTGTTTGTTTTGAGACAGAGTCTATTGCCCAGGCTGGAGTGCAAAAACCTCTGCCTCCAGTGTTCAGTCGATTCTCTTTCCTCAGCCTGTGAAGTAGCTGGAATTACAGGCATGCCCGGCTCACTACTGTATTTTCATAAGAGACGGGGTTTCACCGTGCTGGCCAGAGTGGTCTCAAACTCCTGGGCTCAAGTGATCCACCCGCCTCAGCCTCTGAAAGTGCTGGGATTACAGGTGTGAGCCACCGTACCTGACCCCTTTATTTTATTGCTGTTAATACCGCATTGTATGGATGGTGACGCATTTTGTCTATCCATTCATCAGCTGAGGGACATTTGGGTTGCTTCTGCTTTTTGATTTTTATGAATCATGCTGCTGTGAACATTCAAGCTTTGTGTGGATGTATATTTTAATTTTCTTGGGTATATAATATGTATATATTTTATACACACACACACACACAAACACACACACACACAGACACACACACACACACAATGTATATGTATATGTAATACCTAGGAGTGGAATTGCTAGGTCATGTTGTAACTCTGTTCAACCTTTTGAGGAAGTGCCAGACTTTTCCACAGTGGTTACAACTATTTTACATTCTCATAAGCAATTTATTTCCTGGATTTTAGCAATCAGGTTTCTCTCTCTGTTTAAACTTTTAATCAGAGAATTTTTTTGTTGTTGTTTTTTGAGATGGAGTTTCACTCTTGTTACCCAGGCTGGAGTGCAATGGCGCGATCTCGGCTCACCGCAACCTCCGCCTCCTGGGTTCAGGCAATTCTCCTGCCTCAGCCTCCTGAGTAGCTGGGATTACAGGCACGCGCCACCATGCCTAGCTAATTTTTTGTATTTTTAGTAGAGACGGGGTTTCACCATGTTGACCAGGTTGGTCTCGATCTCTTGACCTTGTGATTCACCCGCCTCGGCCTCCCAAAGTGCTGGGATTACAGGCTTGAGCCACTGTGCCCGGCTTAATCAGAGAATTTTAATGTTAAAGTATTTAGATAATCCAATTACAAATGATGAAATGAAAGTACAGAGCTCATAACTTAAGCATCTCCCATGAACTCATGTTTTATTTCTAAGCAGTGTTTATTTTGGACAGTATTTTTAAGTATCTTTGTCGGATATTTCATTAATAAAAGGGAAATGTTTTAGTGAATCTTATTGACTGAGATAAATTTATATGCTATGAAATTTTAAAAACAAAAACTGGTTGTATAGTAAAATTGCAGATAATCACATAGAATAAAAATTTCCAAAGAAGCAGTTAAAGTATGGTGATAAATGGATTAATACATTTGATGGTTCTGTGAATTCAGGAGCAATAAATGTTAATTGTGTACTTGTTCTTTCCAGACACCTAGTCTTAGAAATTTCTTGTTCAACTCTCAACCCCTCTCTCTGCCACCTTCCCGCAGTACCACCCGGACACCCCCATTATGTGATAGAATACGGCTCCAGTAGCACAGTGCCAAGAAGTTACTATACACAACATGTGTGCTTTTAAGGACTTTCGGTTGAGTAGAGTTGTTAGAGTATGTGAATTTATTGCTTATGTCAATAAAAAGTTTTTAATATGGCTTCATCTGTGTGGTATTTGAAATTACCTGCAGTTTGAAAATTAAAAATCTGATAATCACTCCTCATTTTCAGGGTTACTTGATTAGCTGTGTTTGGAACTGCTACCGATACATCAACGGCAGGAACTCCTCCGATGTCCTGGTTTACGTTACCAGCAATGACAATACGGTAGGTATGATGTCACTTACGGTAGAGCTCTCGCCCACACCTCTACTGTATGATGATCTTTAAATGTTTCTAGGGTCTGCTATATTTTCATTGTTATTGAAACATACTCATGAGCTCCTTAGTTATGAAAAGATTCATCTTCATTATCAAAACATTCATTTAACTTTAAAGTGAAATGAAATGTATTTTGTTTTTCTTACAGGACATTAACATGTAGATGGTTCAACTTTGGTTTATTTTAAAATACATTACAGATAGATAGTGTATGCACCTTACATTAATTATGTATCTTAAACTTGCATTATTGAACCATGGTATATAATTCTAGATATCGTTTCTGCATTGTATGACATTATGTTACCTCACTTTGTATGTGAAGATAAACTGAGATGCGATGTTTACAGGTAGGTTAAAAAAAAAAAACCAAGGTTATTATGTCTTCATAACTTACCCTATGTATACATTCTTAGTAAAAGAATTTAAATGATCTCTGTTCTGCTACTAGTTGTTCATACTTTAAAATGACAATCCTGTCATAAAAAGATCTTTGAAAATGTGTCTTCACTGGAAGAGTCCATGAAAACATACCGACTTCATGTAAATTATCTTGAAATTTCCTGGTTCATGGTGAGATGAAGGTATAAGTCCTTAGGGTGTCTCCATCATCAGCATTTTCAGCACAGGGCCTGATGTCATGCTTGGTACCAGGAAGTGCTCCATGCGAGGTTAGTGACAACGATGGCAATGGATGACTTGTCACTGTGTGGCACGGGACAAGATGGGTGGGTCAAAACGGATAGGATCAGACAGGACAGTATGGACTGGCCATGTGAAAGGAACACAAATGGTAGGAGGTCACATTTATACTAGAGCAGAGTTTTGTGTTTTTGTTTTCTCTGGTGACTTGCTCACTCTGACCTTATCAAAATCATCCAGCCTGTTCCTTGCTTTACTTTCTTGTGTATAAAATGAGAATAAAACAGGTACAGACTTTGTATTAAATATATGGGCGTAAGCTGCTGTATTACTGAGAACTCTGTGGGATTTTTAAAGCATGTTATGCACGAACAGTTTCTGTATATGCTCACCACACATTTCTTGAGTTCAATCAAATACGCATGAGCAATGGTTTAATAGACAGCCGTGACCAGATTCACAAAACCTGGCATACCCAGGTGTGGCCCAGGGCAAGAGTGCGGGGAGTGAGGCGGGCAGATGGGAGAGCTGTTGGAGGTAGTTAATAGTTGATCATTGAGGGAGCTGGAGTGACAGGAGCTGTCTTGTGTGTGACTCACTTAACATAGAATCATACACTTGCAGGGTAGGGTAACACCTTGAACGTCATCTGACTCCGCCATCTCTTTTTGAGACGGAGTTTTGCTCTTGTTGTCCAGGTGATCTTGGCTCACCATAACCTACACTTCCTGAATTCAAGCGATTCTCCTGCCTCAGCCTCCCAAGTAGCTGGACTTACAGGCATGCCTGGCTAATTTTGTGTTTTTAGTAGAGATGGGGTTTCTCCATGTTGGTCAGGCTGGTCTCGAACTCCTGACATCAGGTGATCTGCCTCCCTTAGCCTCCCAAAGCGCTGGGATTACAGGTGTGAGCCAGCACAGAACTTATTTAATAAGGTGCCTCAGAGTCCATATTGATTTTACTGTAGGGACAAATGAGGCATGGCATTTTATCTTTTTACAGTTTAGGAAAGGTTTCTGGGAATGTATTTCCCTTTCCAGTTCTGCAAGGGAGGTGGCAGGGAAGGATGTGGGGCGGGGAGGCAGGTGAAATGGGAGTCTGATATCCAAGGTTCTGAGCAGTCCCTGCACCCCTCCTTTTCCAGCCAACGTTTTGCACCAGCAGCTGGGAGTGCTGGGATTGGAGTCCCCTGGAACGGTTGTTGTCATGTACAGTAGGTGGCGTCGTGCATTCGGGCTTCGGGAACATGGAGAGGCAGCTGCTGGGATGCCTCTGATAGGGTTCCCGAGGTGATAGCGCACTGCTCATTCCATTTCCTCAATATTTAAATATCCAATGTTTACTTAACTGTTAAAATACTTAAGTGTGCAGAACCATTTTACCTTTCAGTTTGGGCCACTATTATTTTGGTATTTTCTAATTTTTGGAGCCAATTGAAAGTATTTGCAATGTGAATTCTATATTTTGGGTACAATCTGTATCAAATAATTTGGATAGCTCCTTTGCTGAGAATTAAACTTCCCTACATTTAGATTTAATAGGCTACCTCCTATTATGAAGTGAAGAAAACAGTAGTTTTACAGTAAATTGAATATAAAATCAACCTGTATCTTGTTTGCCTTTGGAAATAATTCCTTACTCTAGGTGAGAGGACAGTTTCTCATTAGAACCCCCAAAATGTGTTTATACTCTCATCTCCTGGTGTCTCAGATTCATTGATTTGATTTTTTTTTTTTTTTTTGAGACAGTGTTTCGCTCTTATTACCCAGGCTGGAGTACAATGGCGCGGTCTCGGCTCACCGCAACCTCTGCCTCCTGGGTTCGGGCAATTCTCCTGCCTCAGCCTCCGGAATAGCTGGGATTACAGGCACGCGCCACCATGCCCACCTAATTTTTTGCACCTTTAGTAGAGACGGGGTTTCACCATGTTCACCAGGATGGTCTTGATCTCTTGACCTCGTGATCCACCCGCCTTGGCCTCCCAAAGTGCTGGGATTACAGGCTTGAGCCACCGCGCCCGGCCCTTAGATTCATTGAATACAAGATGTTATTAGTTGTCAATAGCACTGTTATTTTAGGTGCTTCTAACTGTGAGGTGCTGTCAGTTAAAAGGCACAGCCAAATTGTGAGATGTTAAGATGTACCAAAATGTATACCTTAAAATTAAAAATACAGAGTTGTAGGCTGGGCGTGGTGGCTCAAGCCCGTAATCCCAGCACTTTGGGAAGCCGAGGCAGGTGGATCATGAGGTCACGAGATCAAGACTGTCCTGGTCAACATGGTGAAACCCCGTCTCTACTAAAAATACAAAACATTAACTGGGCATGGTGGTGCGTGCCTGTAATCCCAGCTCCTCAGGAGGCTGAGGCAGGAGAATTGCCTGAACCCAGGAGATGGAGGTTGCGGTGAGCCGAGATCGCGCCATTGCACTCCAGCCTGGGTAACAAGAGCGAAACTCCATCTCAAAAAAAAAATACAGAGTTGTGTGTCTGTGTTTACTTATAGTGTATATCAAAGGCAGGGGCATTCAAAAAGTTTGGAAACGTAATTCTAGATACCTTTTTTTTTTTTTTTTTTTTGGCGCGACAGAATCTCTGTCACCCATGGTGGAGTGCAATGGCGCACTCTCGGCTCACCACAACCTCCACCTCCCGGGTTCAAGCAATTCTCCTGCCTCAGGCTCCCAAGTAGCTGGGATTACAGGCACTTGCCATCACATCCGCTAATTTTTGTATTTTTAAGTAGATATTGGGGTTCGTCATGTTAGTCGGGCTGGTCTCAAACATCTGACCTTTAGCTAACACCCGTCTCAGCCTCTGAAAGCGCAGGTGGGGATCACAGCTGTGGGCCACTGCGCCTGGCTTATTTTAGATATCATTGTTGTTGTTATTATTATTATTATTACTTGAGACAGAATTTCACTCTCGTTGCCCAGGCTGGAGTTCAGTGGCGTGATGTTGGCTTGCCGCAGCCTCTACCTGCTGGGTTCAAGCGATTCTCCTGCCTCAGGCTCCCGAGTTGCTGGGAGTACAGGCATGTGCCAAAATTTCTGTTGGTTTGGTAGAGATGGGGTTTCACCATGTTGGCCAGGCTGGTCTTGAACTTCTGACCTTAGGTGATCCTGTCGCCCAGGCCTCCCAAAGTGCTGGGATTAGAGGTGTGAGCTACTTCAACCAGGTATCTTAAAGGTAAGCCCAGACATTATATACTTACCTCCCCTATCCTGTTTGGCTTGAGTAAAGGAATCTCACATCAAAATAGGCAAATGTGGTATAACCAATTTAAAATTTTTTTTTTTTTTTTGAGACACAGTCTTGCTTGATTTGCTCAGGCTGGAGTGAAGTGGCACAGTCTCAGCTCACTGCAACCTTTGCCCCTGTGTTTCAATCAATTCTCCTGCCTCAGCATCCCTAGTAGCTGGGATTACAGGTGCCTACCACCACATCCGGCTAAGTTTTGTAATTTTATTAGAGACAGGATTTTGCCATGTTGACCAGGCTGGTCTCGAACTCCCTGCCTCAGGTGATCTGCCCACCTTGGCCTCCCAAAGTGCTGGAATTACAGGCTTGAGCCACATAAATACATTTATTAAAGATATTTAGGCCGGGGGCAGTGGCTCACCCCTGTAATCCAGGACTCTGAGAGAACAAGATGGGTGGATCATGAGGTCAGGAGTTTGAGAACAGCCTGACCATCATGGTAAAACCCCTTCTCTACAAAAAACACAAAAATTAGCCAGTTGTGGTGGCAGGAGCCTGTAATCCCAGCTACTCAGGAGGCTGAGGCAGGAGAATTGCTTGAACCCCAGGGGCAGAGGTTACAGTGAGACGATATCACGCCACTACAGTCCAGCCTGGGTGACAGGGCAAGACTCCATCTCAAAAAAAAAACAAAAAACAAAAAGCAAAAAACAAAACAAAGAAAATGTTGCTTTTAATGCCATATTGCACACACATCCCTAAAAATCACAGAATCAAAATATTTCCTTTTTAATCGCCCGTCACTCCTTCCCCCATCCTCCACTTTTTGAACCCAGCAGAAAACTCTTTCATGCATTTCTTCTGTACTTACCTCCATAATTTAAAATCGTCTCCTTTGCTAGTTACTGATGATCAATGTGAGATGCCTTTTGAATAGGATGTAATTCTCATTCTTCTCATCTCCTCGTTTAGTTTCATCTCATGCTTTGCCTGCGTCATCAGCTAGTGCTTACTTTGCCTCTATGAATATGTGAATATCCTTCAGCACAGAGCTCTGTAGTGTACATTTCCTTCCTCATACAACTCTCGATTTTCCAAGACTAT